TTATTTCCAGTGCTTTATTTTCAACTCTGCCATTATTATTATTATTATTATTATTATTATTATTATTATTATTATTATTATTATTATTATTATTATTATTAACTGCATTTTAAGGCATTTTAGAGGCATTCTGAGTGAAAGTCTTCAAGTTTTATGCCTTTTTTTGTCAATCCTAAGTGTCTCCCCCTGCCCAAAAAGGAAAGAAAAGAAACAGTTAATAATCTGAGAAGCTACTGATTTCCCCCCAACTTTTATGGTAATGAATTATTGGAGGAGAAATGTAGCCAGCATGTAGCAGTGAGTTACCTAGCAAATCACATTCAGCTTCCTATCCTCTGTCCCCTTCTATATCAGTGGATCCCTTTGGCTGATCAGTGATGGCTACAAGCTGCTATTCAATGCTTCTCTCTGTTTGTTGCAGGGGGTTGTGGGAACCTTTAAATGTTTCATCATGTACACTCCTTGTAAGTTCATGGACACTCTGTGTAAGCCAGGGATAAGTACTGTATCAGTATCAATAATTTTTTCTGCGTCATAGGGCCACTAGAAGCCATCCGAGGGGCTGATTGGTGGCACCAGAACTATACTTCTACCTGGAAATACAGAACGATGTGCAGAATGTTTGAAATCTTTAATGCATAAATATACAGTATATGATGAGAACTGCAACACACCGTCTGCTTCAGTTGCTGAATGTTGCCACTTTCCACTGCAGGTGGGAGATAGGAAGGGCTTCGTAGGTAAAATCTCCATGCAAGGTCCATGCAAATATAGGATGTGATGATGTAGTTAGTTAGAAACTCTTCTTAGCATGTTTGTTTTGCACATAATGTGGACAGATATTCAAATATGTAATCAGCCACAGACAGCCCAAATTAGTGAACTCCAGCAGCTGAGACATCACGAGTCAGTTTTTGGGTGGTGACAGATAAGATGATCGGAAGAAAATGAAGAGTTTAGAGGCAACACTTTGAAAGCTGCCTTCAAGAAGCATGAATATAATGGTATACTAATACCATTTATAATTGGCCTAGAGCAGTGCTTCCCAACCTTTGGTAACCCTTGAACTGCAACTCCCAGAAATCCCGGCCAGCACAGCTGGTGGTGAAAGCTTCTGAGAATTGCAGTCCAAGAACACCTGATTTACCAAAGCTTGGGAACCACTGGCCTAGATCATCATCGTAGCATTGGTTACTTGTTTGATAATGGCAGCGTGCCATTGTATTCATTGTTCTTAGGAGACTCTTCCCAGGTTCTGTCCATAGACCTCTGTATCAATTAGTTGTGTGGGAGTATCTGGTCCTGGCCATCTGGAGGGCCTCAAACCCCTCTTTTCCAAACTTTTGCTGAGGAAAGGCTGCAAGGTCCTGATGGAAAGAAACAAAATGGCTACAACTGAAAAGAATCAAATGGAACACAAATACAGTTCTGGTTTGCAGCTGATCATGGAACATGAATGCAGTGTTTTCTAATCACCTTTTCATTCATTTTCCAGCCCAGCCTATGGAGGGCGGCACTGCCCAGGCGCCACATATGAATACCAGGTCTGCAATACGGAAGAGTGTCGGGGTCCCTTTGAGGATTTTCGTGCCCAACAGTGCTCCAAGCGAAACTCATATTATACTCACCAAAACTCTAAACACACTTGGCTTCCCTATGAACACCAAGATGGTATGTTATTGAGACACTACAAAGAAATGATTTTCCAAATGTGTCTGGGGCATAGCTAGCTGATTTTAGTATGTGCCCTCATAGTATATAGCAGTGTGATACTTCATTTGCTGTTGGTTTCTGTCTCTCATCAGCCCTCAACAGCTTGGTCATTGGTCAAGGATGTTGGAAGCTGTAATCCAGTAACATCTGGAGAGCCACCCCTGCCCCTAGGAGAAAGACCCATTCACTCACAGCAACATTTTATCAACATTAATAAATTCAAATACAAACATAGTACAAATGTTTGTGTGAAGAAGAGTTTTATTGAGGACTTTTTTTGGTATCTTTTCCAAAATGACACAAAATGCTATTACAAAATATAATCCCAAATGGTTAAGATACTTCATGGTTGCTAGAATTGCTAAAATATGGTACAAATTTGGTTTATGACATACAGATTTGACCTTCAAATGTCTTAAAATAACTTGGAACAGAAGCCAGGAACCTCTAGTGAGTGAATGAGCATAGGATGAACATTGAAGATGTAATTGCAGCTATTTGATGAGGTTGATGTCATGGGCTGGTCATACAACTGGCATTTGAAGAGCACTTTGCCAAACAGAAGGGCCACTTTTAAGACTCCAGTTCCATGGGCATTAATTCTCAACAGGGTAGTGATGGAGGCAATTTGCTTCTCAATAGAGGCAAGATCCAGCACAGAAGTAAATCAGTACACTGATGATATGGAATATAGAGCATTGAGGTTTCCACTGCTCTGCTGAACTCTGGTACTCCTTTTGGATAGGACTGGACAATGTTGGGCTCTGTATTTATTTACATTTTTTGTCACAAGAATTCAGGCTATTTACCTGCTTGTCTTTCTCTTCTGTTGTCCTTTTTAAAAAGTTACAACAGCACTGTGCAGAAAAATAGCATACACACTGTAATCAACACTTGAGCACAAAGTACGATGACCCTGTACGATGACCTTTGCCGGGAGAGAGACAGGGGGAGTGTGACCCTGTTGATACTCCTGGACCTCTCAGCAGCTTTCGACACCATCAACCATGGTGTCCTTCTGGATAGGCTGGCTGGGTTGGGAGTTGGGGGCACTGCTTTACGGTGGTTCCGCTCCTTCCTGGCTGACCGTGTCCAGAGGGTGGTGCTGGGGGACAGTTGCTCTGCCCCATGGCAGTTATGTCATGGGGTTCCTCAGGGCTCAATACTGTCCCCCATGCTGTTCAACATCTACATGAAACCACTGGGAGAGGTCATCAGGAAGTTTGGGCTGAGGAGTCAGCAATATGCTGACGATACTCTGCTCTACCTCTCATTTTCCACCAATCCAGGTGAGACAGTTTCTGTGCTGAACTCATGTCTGGACCTGATAATGGACTGGATGAGGGTTAATAAATTGAAACTCAATCCTGACAAGACGGAAGTGCTGTTAGTGGGTGCTTCACCGGACAGGCTGGAAGGCCATTTCCCTGCCCTGAATGGGGTTACACTCCCCCTAAGGGACAGGGTCCGCAGCTTGGGGGTGCTCCTGGACCCCAGTCTAACACTGGAAGCCCAGGTGGACTCGGTGGCCAGAGGCGCCTTCCTTCAGCTGCGGAAATTATACCAGCTACGGCCCTACCTGGACGAGCGGAGTCTCATGACAGTTACACATATACTGGTAACATCCCGCATAGATTACTGCAATGCGCTTTACGTGGGGCTGCCTTTGAAGACGTTCCAGCGATTGCAACTGGTGCAGAATCGAACTGCGCGGCTGGTGAGTGGTGCGGCCGCCAGGGAACATATCAAGCCAATTCTGTATAAGGTACATTGGCTACCAGTTGATGCCCGGGCCCAATTCAAAGTGCTTGTTTTGACATATAAAGCCCTAAA